CCACGGTCGATTAATACGAGCGGAGAGCGTCCATCGGCTGTTATGGGGGCCCACACCATCACCATGGCCGGCGCTTGAGTTCTGGTGGCCAACCAAAGGTGCACATTTTTAGCTGATCTCTGCATTTTGTTTGTTTACAAACTGCTGGAATGTTTTCTCATCGGAGAATATCAAATTCGGCAGTTCACCACTTTTGACCAAACGACGCAGCTCTTCAGCTCTTTTAAGTCTATTTTCTTTCTGTTGAGTATATTTTCTTTTGAGTCTATTTTCTTTCTGTTGCGGTGTAAGTTCTTGCACCTTTTTGAAATTTCAACGGCTTTAACCCGAACCCGAAATATTGCGATATGTTCAGCTCACGAGCCATTTTTCGGCCACTGCGAAGCGGGTTTTGATGAAGTCGCTTCTTAACTTTTCGAACTATTTCTGCTGCTGTTGCTGTTTTCTTCCGTTCACTTCCTTGACGTTTGGCTACGCTACCAGTATCACGGGAACGAGCGATGATAAGAGACACAAAATATTTATTCACATTAAAATGCTGGAGTGCTGTAACTATAGCCACTTATGGTTTTCCAGCCAAACATAAAGAAATCATACTATCACGATTGAATTCCATCACGAATAATTTTTTTTCTTGAAATTCTTAACAATTGCTTTTGCACGCCTGTAAACAATATAATGAGCTGTCACAGGAATAATTTTAACAGCTTTCGGACGAGTGGCTTAGAAATAACAGGAGTTTGAAAGTGGTTGCAGTTTTTTCATCTCTGTATATAGAAAATGCAAAATAACATCAAAATATATTGAAAAGTTTTGGCAAAATCTTGAAATATATCTTAAATTGGGGTAGGGTTCCATGGGAGCTATATCATAAACTTGCTATACTATGAGAGCTATGTCAAATTGTGGACCTATATTAACATTATTTTGCAAGGAAATATTCCTAAAATCTTCAAATTTCTTCTAATCGAAGGGTACCGTTGTGTGGGGACTTCGCCGAAACGTGAACCAATCTTTACAAATTTATGATTACATTACTTTTTATTCCTTATGAAGCTACTCCAAAAAATAAGATCGATTAGACGTATAGAAACATTTTTGTCATAACTTCCCATACACGTGGGACCACTGTGCACTGAAAAAAACAGTATTGACATACAAATATAATTTTTGTACCTTAGAATATTTCAACCTCTCGCTTCTTATTCATGTTTCTATTCAAGTCTAAAAATTCAGAAATAAAACTTGTTACTATGAAAATTAAAGATAGAGAATTTCTGTCATATATGTTCATATGTACCTTGATTCTATGAAGGTAAACCAAACGAAAAGCACTTCTCATTCGCTGTCACTAATTCAATTCAAACCACTTGTACTAGGATAACCACACACAAAATGCAGACTCAAGAACCTAAAGAAGAACACAACGCCTGTTTTTTTTTATTTCTTTCTATTTCCCTTTTCCTTCACTTTGCCCCCTTTTCTTTTTTTCATTTATTTGTATGATGTGGGATAAGAAAGAAAATTACATTGTAATGTTTGGTATGTGACATTGTAGGAGTCATGAGTGCCGTTGAGTATGACAGTTGTTCACATCTGTGCAACATGCGTTGCTTTATGTTTTTTGTTTCGTATCCTAGTCATCGTTATCATCATCCCACTCTTTGTATACTCATGGATGATGATTTATTTATTTTTTTCTCGTAACCAATTTGAAGAAAGGGAAATTGAGAAATGAATATAAGTCATGGTACTGTGCTAGAGGATTCCTTCGGTTTAAGGTAGAATATTTGTGTTTCCCATCATATATTTTTTCAGATATTTAAAGCTCAATAAAACCTAAGCAAATATTCCTTAATACTAGCAAATGTAGAACTTAAGAAGTCCCTAGAAAATATTAAAATCCAATATTGTGGATATTAATATTTTACAATGCTAGCAATTCCCTAAATGATTTTTTTTGAAAAACAACCAGATTTCCATAAAAATATTTATTTATCTTGTGTTGGTACGAATTTTATAATCGTTTTGGTTATTCAAAACTTTGAGCCTTTATGGGTGAGGTACCAAAAGGAATGGTCCGATCTCCACCATCTTTATAACATCTTGTGTTGATAGAAATATTCAGATGTGCCTGATTGGAATCGGATGTTAATTTCGCTTCATGAATATTCAAAATTTTGACCCTTTGTTGGAAGGCAGCAGAAGGAGTGGACTTCTTGACACTAGACTAAGTATTAATAAAAATATTGCGATGTGTGTGATTTTAAAGACAATCGGGCTTTTAAATAACATTTTGTGAGAGTTGGAGCACCTGATACAAATATTAGAATTTGCAAAGTTGGAGCAAAATCGGATTATCCTTTCACTTTCTGTGCAATAAAATATTTTTTTTTTTAAATCTTTACCTTTTGGTGGGGATGTTTGGACCAAATCGGATATTTCTTTCGAGAGTTATCGTGTTCATCAAAAAACTGCAACGAACTTCAGACTGCTGTCATTTCTAAGCCACTCGTCCGATAGCTGTTAAAATATTCCAGTGGCTGCTCATTATATTGTTTACAACCGTACAACAGCATTTTGGTGAGAATTTTCCAAAAAAAAGTAAATCGTGATGGAATTCAAGAGTGATAGTGTGATTTGTTTATATTTGGCTGGTAACCTACAAGTGGCTAACGTTAGAGCACTCCAGCATTCAAATGTGAATAAATTTTTTGTGTCTCGTACCATCGCTCCTTACAGTGATACTGATAGCGTAGCCCAGCATCAAGGAAGTGGACGGAAGAAAACAGCAACATCAGCAGAAATGGTTCGAAAAGTAAAGAATCGACTTGATCGAAACCCGCGTCGCATTGGCCGAAAAATGGCTCGTGAGCTGAACATATCGCAATATTCCATTCGGCAAATATTGAAAAATGAGCTCGGAGTAAAGCCATTGAAATTCCAAAAAGTGCAAGAACTTACACAACAACAGAAAGAAACTAGAATCAAAAGAGCTAAAAGTTACTTCGCTTGGCCGAAAGTGATGAACTGCCGAATTTGGTTTTCTGCGATGAGAAAACATTCGTTGTCCAGCAGTTTATAAACAAACTTTCGAAAGAGGTCAGCTGAAAACGTGGACCTTCGGCCACCAGAACTCAAGCGTCGGCCATGGTGATGGTGTGGGGCGCTATAAGAGCCGATGGTCGCTCTCCGATCGTATTAATCGACAGTGACATCAGAATAAATGCCGAATATTAAATCGAAAATATTCTGGAGGGTGTAATAAAGCCTTGGGCACGTAAACATTTTGGCCGCAGACCTTGAACATTCAAACAGGACTCAGCACCATCGCACTCAGCACGCGCCACCCAAGAATGGTTACAAAATGAGGTTCCTCGCTTAATTTCCAGCACACAATGACCACCAAAATCTCCGGATACCAATCCGTTGGACTATTGCTTCTGGAGTGTTTTGGAAAGCAAGGTTGGCACTAAAAAATACCAAAGTGTCGATCACCTCAAGCAAGTGCTTCGCCGGGAATGCGCCAAAACACTCGGGCAGCGTGTGACGGTTTCATTGACCGCTTAAAGGCCATAATTCGTGCCAAAGATGACCAATTCGAACAAATCTAACCTTATTCTAAAATTTGATGCTATTTCCGAGATGTTTTGATTTCATTCAATAACATTAAATGAAAATGTAAAAATTATGGCATTCGACTTTGTTGCAGTTTTTTTATCTCACCATGTAGAAATAAATATACCAAATATGCTCGTTGAGCCGATATATAAAATTTTATTTTATCCATATTAATTGATCTCTTCGAAAGTTATAGTGATTGTCACAGGAGGAGGGAATGACATGTTAAAATCGTCTTAAAATTTAAACCTGCATAAAAATATATATTTTGTTGGTCCTAAATAATTGTTACCAACAATACGAAAAATTCAATATATGTATGATGGAGGTCATAAAAACGGGAACGGACTTCAATATATGCCTGAAACATTCAATATTCATGTTAACAATAATTATGTTTATATTTTTCATATTTTACAGTACAGTTATTAATTAAATAACATTAATTTAGCCTTTAAATTAATGATATAATTTCGAATAATAAATTAATTAATTTTTTTTTCAACCTGACATATTTTCGTATTCAGTGTAACAAGGTTCTTTCCTTCCCCAAAAGAAAAAAAAACTTTTTGGTTTCCTTTGCCAACGTGATAACGAGTGGTGTGAGTACACATTACTTCCTACCGATACCACATTATGTATACAGGAAACACATATCACAGCAGAGTGATAAGAGGAACACATTCGTGTTCTTTCGTGAGCCATACAAAAAATATATAATATATATTTAGTGTAATATATCTTGAAGCAACAAAGATTGTGATTTATGGTTGTCAACAGAGCAAAATCCCCTCAAAATATAGAGCCTTGGTAATTAATCTCTATTTTGGCAAACTTCTCCTCCTCTCCCTACCGTAACATCAGAACAAAGATAATTGTACAATATTTAATTAAAATTTCATGGATGCTCCCAGTACGACCAACAACAACACGTGAAGTGGATTAGGTTTGAAGCTCTATTTCTCAAGTTTTGATTCTTGCCGAAAATCTAACGCTAGGAAACTTCCAATATTTAAGAATCCTTAAAGGCTTTGAGGCTGAAAAATGTGGAAAAAAACTAAAAAAATAAGGAATGTTATCTTCGGAATTTTTAATATAAGGGTCTGTGCTATGTTTAAGATTTCCATTCGCTATTAGCCTCCTTAAAAATCGCATTTCAAAAATTTCTTTTAATTTTTCGACAGGAATTGCTTAAAATAATACATGAACTTTCTCTGAACAGCTTTAGATGATCATCTACTTGAATAAAATGAATTATTGATATTTTTAAAAGGATGATTTCTATATCCGAACTTTTGATACAAATGGAAAATACTGTGTCTTACATTGAACAAATACCGAAATATTGTGAACAGCTCGAAATATTTGAAAATACATACCAGTCAAAACTTATTTCAAAGACCATAATTTTATTCGGAATGATCGCTGGCTGCGTCATATTATATCGCAAACGGTTGGCCACCTAGGAAAAAAATATATAAAAAAGTAAAATATTAATGTAATTAATTTTCATAAATAAATAAATATTTCATAATGCCTCATAAACTAGTAAGACTTTTGAACAAAGCAAAGTTTAAAATCACATACAATTTAAAATTGTCTGGTGGTTTTTTTTTTCTAAGTAGATGTTTAGAAAATTTTGGGGTCATAGAAGTTTCCACAGATCTACTTGTTTATATTTACTTACAATAAATAAATAAGCGTGTATATAATTTGGATGGATGAACTTACAGAGCCTAAGCAGGGTTTGGCTCAAACTTCTTCAATTATATTATAATATTATGCGCGAAATTCGCCAACAAGGAGACACTAGCAAGACCAGTAAGGAAAGGTCAAAAGTTGGGCGAACCCCGATACATATATGATATCACATATATGGTGGACAATAACCATAAAATCGGATGAAATCTGAACCAATCTCGATAACATTTAGCAAAATTATTTGCGAGCTAAATCTGATGTCCGGTATCAAATGTCATCTTTGTGGAGTGCATATTACATATGTGAGGGACTCAAAACTCCAAATCGGATGAAAGTATGGCTTTATATGAACCGATTTTTACAAAATTTTAGGTACAAGCTTCTAGGCTGAATTCGGTCGGAAGTGCACATTTCACTCCATTTGGGCCGATATTAGCCATTTGGTGCACATTAAGTTTGAAATCGAATAAAGATATATATGGGAGCTATATTCAAATATGATCCGATCTCGATAAAATTTGGCAGAGGTATTTCTGGGCTGTATCTGATATCTGGTACAAAATAGCATTCTTATGGAGTGCATATTAAGAATGTGAGGGACATAAATTCCCAAATCGGATGAAACAAATATATGGGAGCTATAGCTATATTTGAACCGATTTTCACCAAATTTAATGTACTTATTTCTAGACTGAATTCGGTCAGATGTGCCACAATTCAGTTCACCATTTGGTACCCTACAAAACTATAATTTTCTGCAAATCTGAAACCGTTTTGACTAGAATGAAGACTCCATTAAGAAACATCCCAATACTACGCATAATAAATGCAAATGTTTAACTTAATTTATACTCTTATCGTATAATTATTATAGATCTGGAACCAATATTTTCCAAAACCATGCGATCTCTAAAAAAAACATCGGTATATGATGAAACAGATGTTCCTACTACGTCAAATACCTAATTTGCTCTTTTGAATAAGAACAGAAATTTCATATTTAAAAATGTTTTCCCATACATATTGAACATCTTATTTTATTCTTAAAATAATGTCACATAGTCCTGTGAAAGTTTTATCTTGGCTTTAGACCGAAATCACTTCAATGTAAATATCAGAAGTACGTCTTTTTGTATTTCTGATTTAGTTAATTATGGTATTTTTTCATACAAAAAATTCTGGTCCTAAATATTATATTATTATACTAGGCAATGTCTATTGGTACTTAGTTGAGATCTTAGGGGCGACTGCAAAATCTTGTCAATTTTTAGGGTTTTAAGTCCATTTTAAACCTTAGATATTTTGCGAACATCTTACAAAACAGTAGGCTTCCATTCTGATCCTAACCAAACTGTCGTGCAAAATTTCGTGAGGTTCGAATTGTGTTGAGGTGAAAAATAAATTAAGAAATGAATGATACGTCATTACAATTCATCAATGACGGACGATTGAGCACGGCGAGATAGGAAGATCCATATATAATATCGGGGATATATTTACATTTAGAGGTGTTTCAAATTATGAAATAAATGAATAATAACCCCAACATGTAGTGTTGCAAAAAAAAAATATGTTGTCAATCAACTTCTCAAACTAACACGAACATTACAAGGTGGAAAGCTCGACAAGGTTGAGGATTGTAAAAAAAAAACAAGTAAAAAAGCAGTAAGTTCGTCCGGGCCGAACTTTGAATACACCATTTGAAACGAATTAGAAAATTGTCAAAAAAAAATCCAATAAAAATTCTGTTAAAATCTTTAAAATATCGAATATCGGAAGCTGCCGATGTATGGGAATCTATATATACAATTACCTTTCAGGGGTTAAAGTGCTCACAAAGAACTCCTTGTGTGGATTTTCAGACAATACCATAGGAAAATATGGCTAAAATCATCAAAATACCGAATATCGGGGGTACCGTCATATGGGGGATATGTGATATCGTTAACCTATATAGAGAATTCTCTGTCAGGGGGTAAACTGCTCACAAAGAACCTCTTGTGTACAATTTCAGACAATTCCGTTGAAAAATGTAACTAAAATCATGAAAATACCGAATATCGGGGGTACCGTTATATGTGGGGCTAACGATATCGTGGACCTATATAAATATTTCTCTTCCAAGGGATAAAGTACTCACAATGAACTATTTGTGTGGAATTTCAGACAATTACATTGAAAAATGTGGCTGAAATCATCAATATACGGAATATCGGGGGTACCGTTATATGGGGGCTATACGATATCGTGGACCTATATAGATAATTCTCTTCCAAAGGATAAAGTTCCCACAATGTATTCCTTGTGTGGATTATCAGACAATTCCGTTGCAAAATGTGGCTAAAATCGTCAAAATACCGAATATCGGAGGGTACCGTTATTTTGGGGCTATACGATCGTGAACCTATATAGATAATTCTCTTTCAAGGGATAAAGTACTCATAAGGAACTTCTTGTGTGGATTTTCAGACCATTCCATTAGAAAATGTGGCTTAAATCATCAAAATACCGAATATCGGGGGTACCGTTATATGGGGGCTATACGATATCGTGGACCGATATTACCCATCTTCGAACTTGACCTGCCTGCAGACAAAAGAGAGATCTGTGCAAAATTTTAGCTTCCTATCCTAATTCGTTAATATGTAGCGTGATTACAACAGGCGGAGAGACGGACGGACGGACATGGCTAAATCGTCTTAGAATTTTACGCTGATCAAGAATATATATACTTTGTTGGGTCTAAAGTGATTATTTCGATGAGTTACAAACGGAATGACGAACTTAATGTACCCTCCATAACAATGTATGGTGGAGGGTATAAAAATAGATCGACAAGGATTACTTTTCCGTAAACTGTATCATTATAAAGACATACCTTTATGACGATCAACTTTTCCAAAAACATGTTAGAAAATTTGTGTCGGTGTTCCGAATTTATATTTTTATGTTCCTTTTTGGATACGTCCCATAAATGTTGGATCTACATGTCTCATCTTTATGATAGATCAAACATTTGAAGGAGAAGATGTTAACCGAGAGCTATGATAAAGTTGTCAAGATTTTGACCTTTTGGAGGGAGGTTCGAAAATAAGTGGTTCCATATTAACCATTTTACATTCCTGACTTAAATTTGACATGAGTATTACCAAAGCCCAATTTTAGATTTTGTGATGCACTCCATCCGTTTAGGATCAAATTCCATTAACTCTGCATATCCCAATATTTCTACCAAAACACAACAGCTGATGTGAAGATGGAATATATCGGACCAAAACGCTCTTAAAATAGGAAATACAATTCCGATTCTGAATATGATAAATATCGGCCCACCCCTTATGGTGCCTCTCCCTCAAATACATATTTGGTTAATTTTTTTTATGTTCCTATTCAAGAACCATTAAATCTCAATTCAATTTTGAAAGCTTTTCAATCCATTTTCCAATATACAAGCATTATTTCTTATACTATTATTGAATTAATGTAGAAAGCACGTGCAAACTACATGCACATGTAAATTACAGGTTTTGTTCTCACAAACACAAGCAATCACAATTAGTGGATGAGTGTTTTCGTACTTTTTAATTGTATTTCCAAACGACAAAAGTAATTAATTCATAGATTTATTTGTCTATACGAATTAATGTTTATCCAATTTTTTTCCATTTATATTTGCTGTTACAATACAAACATTGCTTGTATAAATAGCAACCGTTGATATAAAATAAATATTGGTATAGACAGCTTTTTCAATTAGGATACGTCATTGTGACAATAATGACTATCTCTCATTTCCAGAATAATCTATTAATAATTTGTGCCAGCAGATTGTAGACAAGATTAGAAGGCAGACACAATAAAGGTCATTAAAAACAGCTGCTAAGTAGCTTTAGGCTCGTGATATGGGTTTAAGGTAGGGACTAATATAGATTAGAGAATTTTAGTTTTGAGAATAAATGAATACTAATGGCACATATTTCGCAGCAGGATGGAATAATAGCCTAAATAAAATTGCATTAATTTTTCCTTTTGTACTCAGTCGCAATGACCACACGTATGATTGTAATTAAGAGCAATATAGAGTTGCCGTTCGAATGTTGTTATGATCCTATTTTTATACCCTTCACCTTGGAAAGTGGGTATATTAACTTCGTCATTCCGTTTGTAACATCCGTAAATATTCATCGTAGATCCCATAAAGTATATATATTCATAATCAGCATAAAATTCTAAGTCGATTTAACGATGTCCGTCTGTCTGTTGAAATCACGATACACCACACATTATTTGACGTAGACCTTCAGAATTTGACAGAACATTTGTATTGTGTCTAGGATGGTTGGTATTGAAAATGAGATATATCGGTCCACGTTTTCGTATAGCGCCATATAACAATATATATATATATATAGCCGCCGATATTCAGTATTTTAATTATTTTCGCCACAATTTTTCCACGGATTTGTATAAAAATTGGTATATGTAGGTAATAAGGGTTCTAGTTTCACAGGCGGAAACTTGAATGTAGAGGTTCATGTTTTGGTATAGCCCCCATATAACGGTGCGCCCCGATATTCGGTATTTTGATGATTTTGGCCACATTTTTCACGGATTTGTCTAAAAATTGGTATTTGTAGGTCATAATACGTTCTAGCTCGTGTGGCGAAGCTCTCATATAAAAGTACATTGCGGTATTTTGATGATTTTTGTCATATATTTCACGGATTTGTCTAAAAATTGATATTTGTAGGGTATTATGGG